ATAGCCTGGAGCTGGGGGGGGGGGCAGGCAGGAGGCAGGAAATGGATGATCTGTAGCAGAATTGGGCCTAATCTAATTAGGGTGTTTCTCAGCCCTGAGCAGGCCTGTGTCTTAACCCATTCAGCCCCTCACCAAGGCCTCAAGGGGAGAGCCAGCTCTCCCTGCTTCCCACAGGGCTCCCAGGAGGATCTCAGATCCATCCTGGCTTGGAGCCACCCCCACCCCAGCCTGCTTCCCTCTTTGCTTCCTTAAGTCTTGAAGGTGTGGTGGGCATGTTCTCAGCTTCAGTTGTCCCTCTGCACCCAGCAAGGCTGTCATACTGAGGACCTTTGTAAGGTGGGAAGGAGCTGGAGGTGGGTGGTTGATGGCCCCCTGGCCTCCTGGGAATAATAATAATATCATCATCAGCCAGGCAGTGTCTGTTTTTACAGAATTCCCTGAAGATAGGATTATGTTTCTCCTGTCACAGATAATAATGGTGATAACAGCTAACATTAATTGAGTGCTTCTAGGCGCTGAGTGTTTCCTGAATATTGTCTAATATAATCCACCCATGCTCGAGGGGGTGGGGTGGAGGGGACGCGAGGGGTAAGGGGGGGACACGGAAGCAGGTGCCACCTAAGCCACTTGCTTTGGGATTTGAGTCCAGACAGGGGCCAGCCAGGTCCCAGGAGCCCATGACTAAGCCCTGTCCCACCCCGCCTGGCAGTGACCACCGATCCCCCGCCCGATGTGCACGTGAGCCGAGTCGGGGGCCTGGAGGACCAGCTGAGCGTGCGCTGGGTTTCCCCGCCCGCCCTCAAGGACTTCCTCTTCCAAGCCAAGTACCAGATCCGCTACCGCGTGGAGGACAGTGTGGATTGGAAGGTGTCCGCCCCGCCCCCGCCCCGCCCAGGCCCCGCCGGGTCCCCGCCGTGGTCCCTGACCCTCCCCTTGCCGCCTAGGTAGTGGACGACGTGAGCAACCAGACCTCCTGCCGCCTGGCCGGCCTGAAGCCAGGCACCGTCTACTTCGTTCAAGTGCGTTGCAACCCCTTTGGCATCTACGGCTCCAAAAAGGCAGGGATCTGGAGTGAGTGGAGCCACCCTACGGCTGCCTCCACCCCCCGCAGTGGTGAGCACCCCAACATGGCTGGGTGGTTATGGGACCAGCCCTAAACCAGCCTGGGCTTGGGCTTCTGTTTTCTACTTTTGTTTTTTCAGGAGAGCAGAGGTCTCAAACTGGTGGCCCCAGGGCCTAATTTGGCCCCTGGATCTATTTTCTTTGACCTATCATTTGAAAACAAACAAACAAAAATTTAATCTACTTGAAGACATTTACAAATAGGAAGTTTTAACACAAATATCCTAGGTTCCCTAGAAAAATTGTCTAGAAAATGTGACAGGACACAGCCAGTGTTGCTCTGAAGTCTCTATCAGCAAAGGCTGCCCCTTCATGCCAGGTCCTCTCTCTCTAGCTGCCTCATCCCCAACTGGCCCATTTCACCCACCTGTACCCCTCCCCAGCCCCTAAGGGCAAGTGAGTTTGAGACCCCTGCTTCAAAGGCTGTTGGGCTGCTAACTCTCCCTCTGATGGGCCTCAGCTTCCCCTTCTGACCCAGGTAGGGGGCTGGGGATGATTAGGGGCCTGGGTCTGGCTCCCCTTCCCATCTGGGGTTCCTCTGAGTCCATGGACATCCTTTGTCTCCTTTGTGAAATGATATGAAATCTGTTACTTGAAATGTCTGGCTTCAGCTTACCCATCTGGAAAGTGGGGATGATAATGACTCCTGTCTCAGACTATTGTGCAGGTGAGATGCGATAACCCATGCAAAGTACCCTCATAGTGAGCACCACCTAAGGCTCCCTTCCCCTGCTCATCCCATGGTTTCACCCCAAGGTAGGCCTCTTTTCTCAGATGAGGAGACTTTGGCCTCAGAAGATTTAGCCAGACCCCAAGGTCACACGGGGATCTGAATTCAATTTGCTGAAGTCCAGGACCGGGCTCACTCCTGTGATGATGGGGAAACAAAGGCCCAGAGAGGGTCTCAGAACCAGGGAGGGGTAGAGCCTAGCTCCAGCCAGCTCCCCAGCCCCCTCTGTGGGGCCCTCCAGGTTCTGGGGTGGGCGGGAGCTAGCATGACCGGGAGGGGCTGAGCCTTGGCCCCTGCTCGTGCCCAGCACCTGCGATTCTTGCACGGGAGCCAGCAGGCGGCTGCGTCTGCAAAGGAGGCTGGGGAGGCTGGGGGAGGCCAGCAGGGGCCTGGGCTGTGCCAGGGCCTGTCAGCGGGTCCCCTGTGTTATTTATGACGTGAGGCCGATGTCCTTATCCGCCGGCCTGTTCAGGGCTGACTGAGTCCAGCAGCTGGGCCGCAGGCGGGCCTCCCACCTGGCCCTCCCACCAGCTCCCGGTCCCATTGGCTCATGCTCCCAGGGGCTGTCTCCTTTCGATTCTGTCACTCTCTTCCTCTCCCTTTCTGTCTTTCTGCCTTTCTTGGTTTGTGTCCCTACACCCCTATGCTCTCTGTTCCCCCACTTTCTCCACCCCTCCTCCTCTCTCTGAATCTCCATGGCTGACCCCATAGCTTTGGCCGTCCCTGCATCTCCTGTGTTTCCTTGTCCCCATCTCTCAGTCTCTGCTTCTGTATCTCTCTCCCTTTCTCTGCCCCCTGCTGTCTCTGAGTCTACGGCCTGGCTTCTCACCTTCTCCTCCAACCCTTTCCACTCACACCTGGATCAGGCCACAGGAATCAGGTTCCTGGAGGAGATGTGGAGGAGGAGCCCCTTCCTTCCCCTACCCCCCACCTCCTCGGGGGCGCAGCTGGGCTGCTTGGCTGGGCGGTGGAGGGGACGCGGTCTCGGGGAAATGGGGGGAGGTGCCCGAGGGGAACGCGGTCAGCCACGCAGGGACCCTCCCTCCATTGCCCGCGCGCGCCCTCTGTCGGGCACGCGCTAATGCTGCCGCTTCGCCTCCATCAGAGCGTCCGGGCCCGGGCGGCGGGGCTTGCGAGCCGCGGGGCGGAGAGCCGAGCTCGGGGCCGGTGCGGCGCGAGCTCAAGCAGTTCCTCGGCTGGCTCAAGAAGCACGCGTACTGCTCGAACCTCAGCTTCCGCCTCTATGACCAGTGGCGAGCCTGGATGCAAAAGTCGCACAAGACCCGCAACCAGGTAGGAAGGAGGGACCTGTGGGCGAGGGATGAGGGGTGTTGCAGGGAGGTGGGTGCACAGCCCCGGACACCACCTCCTTCCTTCCAAGCACAGGACGAGGGGATCCTGCCCTCGGGCAGACGCAGCGCGGCGAGAGGTAAGGGGGGCCCAGGTGGGTGGGAGATAGGGAGAATTAGGCCTTCCCGGTGGCCAATACGCTGTGGGCCCCCCCACTCTCATCCTTCAGTTTTATTTATCAGCATTTACTTAGCACCAACTGTGTGCCTGGCCCCGTGGCTTTTAACCTAGTAAGAGCACCTAACTCCTTGAAAATGTCCAAAGTGTAACGTCATCCTGAGGAATGAATGGACATACTGGTCCAAGTTAGCATGTTTGAGCGCCTACTGCATGTTGGGCCTTTGCCAAGAGATTTACCGAAAGAGCACCCCATGGGATGGATAGATATTACTTCTTAGATGGGGAACCAAGGCCCAGGAAGAGGCAGTACCCTGCCCAAGGTAACCCAGCTGAAAGTGGTGGGGCCAGGACCTGAATGGGAGGGGGTGTAAAAGGGGAGTTCCTAAATTGCTGTGCAGTGCTGGCCCCTCCTAGGCTCCCTACTTAGCCTGGCTTCACCTCTGCCTGCAGGTCCTGCCAGATAAGCTCTAGGGGCTGGGGGCCGCCCTCCCTGCTTCATGGAGACCCAGGGCTGCAACCAAACTGGGGCCACCTTTGTACCCTCACCTCACGGTGCCCAAGCACCCTTGGCAGGAGCTGGAATGGGCACTCTGAGCTCCAAGGACCACATCTCTGGCCTCCATGCAAGGCCACGCTTGGGTGTACCCAGTGGGGTGTGTGTGTGTGAGGGTTGGCTAAGCTGCCCAGAACCCCTGCCAGGGCTGAGGGTGAAGAGGATTCATTACCTCCCTCACCCAGGACCCCTCCAAAGAATCTTTTTAAATAAAGGAGCTATTTTAGGTTCCCTGATTGTGAAGGTGAGTTTGGGGCTGCAGAGGCCTGGGGTGGGGACTGTAGGGGAGGCATGAGGACTTCTAATGACCCTTTGGGATTGAAATCCTCCCCTTCCAGAATTTCAGACTCGTTCTCCCCAGGATTGCAACTATCTGGTTCTAAACTCCTTAGAGAGTGTGATTCAAAACAACAGTTTAATCACTCTTGGGGGAGGGAGTCTTTCACCCTCCATCCCTGCCTCTATGGGGCCCCCTCAACAGGTATACACACCCCAGCACCCAGGAGACAGAGAGAGTAGAGCAGCTGCAGATGAAGGGCTCTTTATTGTGGGAGGTGTGGCCCCCTCACAGAGGGTTAACAGCCCGGTCGGGCTCCACCCCATCCAGCTAGCAGTCAGAGCTAGGCACTACCCAACCCTTTTCCCATTTCCCTCAGAGGGTCCCTGGGGAGTCACCATCACTCAGCAGATTCTGCATCAAATCTGAGGTCCTGGAGAACCTTGTTGATGGCTTCCATGGTTTTAATTACCCTATAAGAGTGGATGGGAACTATAAATAAAACCCAGATGGGGCAAATTAGCCTCCACTGTGCAGCTCTGAGGGGGCTGTGGCAAGCCTGGGGCCCCCCTGCCCACCACCAAGCTTCCAGGCAGCATTAGCAGCCCAGGATCATTTGGGTGCCTGGGAGCAGGGGTGGTCTTGTAGGTCACAGTGGGCAGAGAGAAAAGGCCATCTTGAGTGGGTGTATGCCATTAGGAGGCTGTACAATGTAACTGGCAGATGTCGAGGGGGTGTGCATGTGTTTGTGCGTGGGGGGGCGAGGGCAGGAATGTGCAGGCGTGTGCTCGATGGGGCCTGGGTGACCGTGTCCAAGCTCCAAGTTCAACCATGTAAATGGCATTGGTGTGTCTGAGATGTGCAGCTGTCCCAGAAATGAATAGCACATCTGGTGTGGAAATGGAGGGTGTGTGCACTGGGGGAATGTGCTGTGTTTCTGGAAGCCACCAGGTGTGGACTCCAGTGTGCACACCCTCAGGGTTGTGTGCAGGTCCAGAGGGTCTGACAGTGCCAGCCCTAGGGCATACTTGACTGGGAGTGCATGCCTGGCCCCTGTGCAAATCTAGCATGGCCAGCCCACTGGGAAGAGACACTCACTTCATCTTCAGCTGGTGCAACTGCAGAGTGTCTTCCTGCCCTGTGAGCTCTGGTGCCCCCATCAGTTGCAGCTGGGTCACCTGGTGCAGGGGCGAGAGGGGGCAGCAGGGAGGATATCACTGCAGGCAGAGGCCACCCCCTGCCCTCCCACACAACCAAAAAGGGAGCAAAGGGGTGGGGCCATGGCTGGGAGTGGCCAGGGAGGTGCTTAGTGAGGGAAGAGCCTGGGATTTTTTTTTTTTTTAATATATCTTTATTGATTTCAGAGAGAGGAAGGGAGAGGGAGAGAAAGAAACATCAGTGATGAGAGAGTCATTGATTGGCTGCCTCCTGCACGCCCCCGACTGGGGATCAGCCCGCAACCAGGGCATGTGCCCTGACCGTACCTTAATCTCCTGGATCCTACCCTAGGTCGATGTTCAACCTCTGAGCCCTGCCCTGCCGGGTGAGCCTGGATTTTTAGAGCGCTGAGTAGGCTGCACGTTGGTGTGTGACTAGCAATCAGCCAGATATTGGTTACAGGGGCACAGTAGGTGGGGCCTCATGGTCTTGGGGGCAAGACAGGGCCCTATAATCCCAGGGTAGAAGTAGGCCAGAAACCAAGACTGGGATTGGGATCTCGGAGGTGTGGGTGGCCTGGCAATCCCAGTGTAGAATGTGATATGGGTGTGGCTTCATGTGGATTTAGCCAGGGAATAGTGTATCTCAGCCAGGATTGGCTGTACTGCCTAGTACACTGGGCCTTGGAACCCTGGGAAAGGAGTAGGTCCAGAACCTAGGCTAGGGTCTAGGGTTACTGGGAGGGGGAGGGCCTGAAAACCCACGTTGCCCCCTATGCAGAGACTTGAGGACTGGACCAGAAGCATTAGGAAGAACCAGAAGGGAAGAGCGTTGTGGGGGCAGGGGCGGGTCATTCAGGACGGCGTTATCCTGGGGGCAGGGACTGGGATGGACGGACAGGTTCTGGGACTAAAAGCCTGGAATGAAACCCAGCGGACAGGTGGAAACAAGGAGGCTGGATAATCTCAAATGGAGCCTTTGTGGAAGATTGAGGTGGGGTAGGAAGCGGTGGGGTCTAGAGCTCCGGGAGTGGAGTTTTGGGGGACTGGAATCTTCTGGCCTTTCACTCACGTGGCACAGAGTGGACCTAGCAGGCCACCGAGATTAGGAGAGACTAGGTTTGGAATAGGGGGCAGGGCCTCACCGCGGCCAGGCTTGTCTGCTCCAGCTACTGTAGGCTGTGCACGTGGCGAGCGAGCAGCGGCTGCGCTCTGGGGCCTGCCAGCTCGGCCTCCACCACCAGCACCTCCCAGGCGAAGGCCTGGGTCACCTCGTGCACTGTGATCTGGTAGCACGGGAAGCCGTATCGCGGGCGCCTACGCAGGTACAGGTGGTGACCTCAGCAGCAGGGCGGGTACTGAGGCTACGTCCCCAGGCTCTTAGGCCCTTTACCTGCATAGACCACCTGAAAGCCCCGCCCCCCCCATAAAGTGTCCCTGGACCCGAGTGTGGAGGACACTGATTCCTACAGAGGAACACAAGACAGGCCCATCGCTGCATTTGGGGAAAGGAGATACACCCCCAAGAGTGGGACATTGGGAAGTGGGGACGCACCCTGGGTCGTCTCTGCCTCGGCCAATGCAGCTGCAAGGGTGACCCAGCTCCACCCCCGGGAACGCCCACCTCCGAAGCAGCCTGGGGACTCAACCCTGCCACCCATATTCGCCCCTGCACCGGCACTTACTTCCCCAGGCGGTGGAAGGCCTACGGGCGCTCAGCCTGCAACTGGTGGATGCGCTGCACCAGCACCTGGATCGGGGCATCTTTCTACGGAGCAGGGGGCATGGCTGGGCATGAAGCTGGCGCTCCCGAGCCGATAACGCCCTCCCCGCGTCCGTTCATGCTTGGGCCCAGGCTCACACAAGGCCATATTTGTTCGAGCTCTGGGTCTCCTCTGGCAGACGCAGCTTCAGGCACAGTGGGGACAGCAAGCTCAGCCACGGCCTCACCGGTTATGACTGCGCAGTCCCAGCCACACTCGGGAGGTTGCTCTGCTGCGGTAAGCGCCCCCTGTAGGCCCGGAGGTATTCCAGGCCCCAGCCTGTGCTGGCCAAACCTGGAGACTCGGAAGGCTGACTGCTTAGGCGCGACACCTACCCCCGACTCTACTTCTGCTGGTTCTCTCCCAGCACCTGCCTGCTTTCATTTGTCCTTGAATGTACGGCTCTGAGCATAGCGAGGCTCTCTGGGTTTGTTTCTATATGCTTATGCCAACACCGACTTTCATCCACATAATGTCCTCCTCACACAAGGAAAACAAATTCATTATATAGTGCCAGAAGACCGAGTGGGATTTCAACGTAGTTTGACATTACAGAGCTCAAGTTGCTCCAGGCTGTGTAAAGACCTTATAAATGATCTGAAGGGAGGAACCTGGGGGCAGGCTGAGGCCAATGGGACCTCATATTAAGTGCAGAGGTGGCCTCCAAGCTTTCTGCTGGAGAGTCACCAGTTTTGAGCTGAGAAGCTTCCTTCTCCAGGGGGTAATTGGAGATTATTAAGTTGGTAGTGGCCTGGCCTAGGGAAGAGGCCAGGGATGAAACTCAACTGACGAGAGACGGAGTAACCGAGATTCCAGCTTTTAGCTGGCACTGCTGGTCCCAGCTATTCTTAACACAGTTTCCAAGCCTGGGTTGTCACCTACACCAAGCCCCAATTGTCCGAGGAAGCATGGCCTTTTCAGGGCATCCAGTGCACAGCCCTCACGGGATTTGCAGAAGCATCATACAAAGTCTTAAAAAAAACCCACAAAGGCCTGGCCAGCGTGACTCCGTGGTTAAGCACTAACCTATGATCCAGAAAAAGGTTCCATTCCGTCAGGGCACATGCCCTAGTTTCAGGTTCAATCCCCAGTAGGGGGCGTGCAGGAGGCAGCAGATAAGATGATTCTCTCATCATTGATGTTTCTCTCTCCCCCCGCCCTGAAACCAATGAAGATATATTAAAAAAAACCCACAAAGGCCTACCCTTCCAAAAACCACTGGTCTCAGGTGGGACTCATTGCTTCTAAGATTCAAAACTGGTGTTTTACACTAGGTGGGGTGTTCCTAACTTCCTCCTCATCCAACCATACCTGGACACGCCCAGGGCCCAGATGAACCATCGTTCCACCAGTCACTGGCCTAAGGTCTTCATTCCCTTGTTACAGATGACAAAACCAAGATCGGCAGGCGTCCTAGTCTACATGGCAGAGGGTCAGGACCACAGTCCATTTTACAGATGAGGAACCTGAAAGGACAGGACTGCCAAAGACTCTAAAGTCATGTAACAGGGAGTCCCTAAGGGAGATATCCACACCTTGGCCATCTTCCCCACTGGACAGATCAGCCACATGGACACCAGTTACTGCTCCAGTCAACAAAAGAGAAACTTTATTGAGGCCCCAGGGTCACAGGGTTCAGGTAGAAGGCTGCCCTGTGTACCCGAGGTGGTGGTGGAGGGGCCTTATTTAACCTTCTTCTTGGGGCGCAGGTTGTTGGTGTGGCCACACTTCTTCTTGCGGCAGTTGACAGCACGGGGGTGCAGGCGGGCATAACACCTGGGCAGAGACAGGAGGGACTGGTCAGGGTGCCTGAGCCCTCTCCACCAGGGCCAGCAGGCTCCACCCCCAAGCATGCTTACTTGCGGCAGATCATCTTGTCGCAGTTGTACTTCTGGGCGAGCTGGCGGAGGGAGGGTTCGATGATGCCACCCCTCAGACGAAGCACCAAGTGCAGGGTGGACTCTATAGGAAATGAGGGTTGGGGAGGTACAGTGACTCATTCTGGGCCCAGCACTTGGTCCATAGGTGCAGAGCAGAGCCTTTGTGTGATGGCCACACCAGCCCCTGGGGAATCTGAGGCTAATAAATGCCAACAGTGGTGTCCAGCTGGCTTCCCTACAGGTAAGGTAATTTTTAAGTAGCCGACCTTTTATTTTGCTAGGCAGGACAGTTAAAGCTTGTTGCTGCAAAGAGTGACCCTGATTTCCTTTATAGCAGTTACATTTTTAAACAAAACACATCTTAAAAAAGGAAAGGTGAACGAGAACATGGGAAATCATTGCCATCTGGAAACACAGGAGACAGTTTCCAGGGATGAAAACAGTATCTTGTAAAGCAAGTCTTTCCCCACCTCCTCTGATCTGGCTAGTGTGGCTCAGTTGGTTGGAGTGTTATCCCATACACTGAAAGGCTGCAGATTTGATTTCTGGTCAGGGTGGGAACAGGAAAGTAACCAATAGATGCCGTGTCCCCCTGCCCTTTCCACTCTCTAAAAACCAAGGGAAAAAATATCCTCAGATGACAACACAACAAAAACAAATTCAATAAGCACGTCCTTAGGTGAGGATTAAAAAACAAAACGCTGCTCCCTCTTCCCCATGCCAATAGAGCCATGAATGCCCCACCTGGGTCAGTCCCAGGCTTCATGAGGCCCTGTCCAGCCAACACACATGCAATACCTTTCTGAATATTGTAGTCTGAGAGAGTGCGGCCATCCTCTAGCTGTTTGCCCGCAAAAATCAGACGCTGCTGGTCAGGCGGGATGCCTGGAGATTGAGAAAAACTCAGTTATTGAGGCTCTGGAGAGCATTACTGGCAGCTCTCCCCTTCCCCTACAGGCCTTCTCCACAATTAACCCCAATCTGTGAAAAGGGAAACCCAGGTAGAAATAAAATGCCTTCCTGAAATTATGCACAGGAAGTACTGGCAAGACCACAGCACCCAGACCTACTCCAACTTACCCTCCTTGTCTTGGATTTTAGCTTTGACATTCTCAATGGTGTCACTGGGCTCAACCTCAAGGGTGATGGTCTTGCCAGTCAGGGTCTTCACAAAGATCTGCATCTCTGCGTCTGCTGGGAGGCTGGGACAAAGTAAGTACTGCAGGCACAGCACCTTGAGTTCCTGGGCTGGCCAGCCTAGTCCCTGATTGGACCCCAACTGCAGGCCCACGCCAGTGCCTATAATCTTCCATCCCTCCAAGTCTGCAGATGCAATGAGAAGTACACGGCCAGGGTACTATCTTGCCAGGGACATTTCCCCCAAGAGTGATCTGGAGGTCCTGTCAATCCGTCCTCCCTCCCTCCCTTTCACCAGCCCTAGCCATAGTTCCACAAAGTACCCTTCCTGCAGTTTGGGTGGGAATCCAAACTTAGTAGCTGGCCCTCTCCTCTCCAATTCTAAGCTCATACTCACTCTGGCTTCCTTCTCAGTTACCCCCAAACTTCTTAGACCACAATTCTTGCCTTCGCTCCAACCCATATCTGCCAACCGCGTGCCACATACTTGTTTACACAGGCTTTTTCATTTAACAAAACAAAACAAAAAAAGGCCTACAAAATGGACACTAGCAGCCTCTCCTTTACATAAGTATTAAAGAGGGTAGGTGAAGACCTGCTCGGGGAACGGGGTGGGGGTGGAGGATTTAATACTTCGGCGCGGGCAAGCCATTCTCCTAAAGACCGGTTCGCCTCCCGGGGCCCAGAACCCCAGTCCAACACGCCCTGGTTAGCCTGGCCCGCACGAACGGATTCGGACAGCCCCCTTCGCTGCCCCAGTCCCCGTACCCCCGCTGCCTCCCGCCTGACCCCAAACCAACGAGAACCCGCACGGGCGCCACCACCGACCTGCTCCACCGCCTCGTTGAAGAAAAAAGAGGACGACGGAACCGGAAACCGCCGAATCGCTGCCGAGAGCGCCTGCGCACCGAGCACGCTGCACGCATGCGTCACAATTTGCGCCGCGCGTCTTGCCCCGCCCCACCGCCGTGTTGCGTGCTGGCGAGCGAAGCCGCGGCGTCTGTGGGCGAGCGTCGCCCACCTGCTTCCGGTGTAGGCTTCCGCCCCCGGGTCACCTGGAAGACTGCCACAGTTTACAAAGTGTTTCCACCCGCTCCTTCAGGTTCCGCTGAAGACGCGACGTTGCGGGCGCTCGAGTACTTATTGGGTGGAGCAGACTCTTTTGTGCTAAATGGAAGGCATTAAGCAGGGGGTCTGCGGGTCCAGGAAGCGGGGGTGTGGCAGGGAAGGTAGGTGGAGGCGCGGGACCCTTGGGAGCCACCTAGGTACCTAACACCCAGAGTCAGTTATTCTAAAACTTTCTGGCGGCTATGCGCTGATGGATTTCCGGGCAGCGTCCCGGGGGAGCCGGGAAAACAGGTGGGACTGGTGCATGAAAATGGAGTGAGGCCCTGGCCGGTGTAGCTCAATTGGTTGAGCATCGTGCTGTGCACTTAAGGGTCACTGGTTGGGTTCTGGGTCAGGGCACATACCAGGTTGCTGTTCAATCCCCGGTCTTTTGGGCGCCACGGGAGGCAACCAACCCATGTTTCTCTGTCACATAGATGTTTCTCTCTCCCCATCTCTTAAAATCAATAAAACAAAAAAGAGAGAGAAGGAAAATGAGGTGGGACCCAGGAAACTCCTGGATGGCTAAAAAGTGGCAGGGACGTGAAAGAAGTGAGGACCTAGAAGTTACTTTTGGGTTTGGCAGCATACCTTTTTATTTACTAGAACTCTTCACAGCGCCCCTGTGGACCAGGCAAAAGCAGACACTCCTCCGGTCTGGGAAGATGCCTTTAATAATATAGTTCCTAAGTGCTTCCCTAGTCACTGTGATGAGGGATTAACTAGGTGCTCTGGATGACAGAATAGGGTGGCAGAGCTGACCGTTTGAGTTTCTAATGGGGAAGGGGACCCAGCTCAGTTCCCTGAGGAGCCTAGCCTGCCACTGAGATCTGGAGGAGTCATTCAAGGAGGCAAGGCAGCAATTTTCAACCAGTGTGCCACAAGAATTTTTAAAACAGGCAATACTTGACTATTTAGTCAGGGGCACTGACCTCATTTCCCTTGTCAAATTAAAAAATGACAACAGCCACCGTAACAGCCGTTCTCTGTTAATGAATCAAAATTATATCTTTTTTTGTCATATCTGCAAAAAATATTTCGCTGTGCAATAGAATTTTATTTTTTTAATGTTTTTATTGATTGATGGAAGAGGGGGAGATAGAAACATCAGTGATGAGAGAGAGTCATTGATCAGCTGCCTCCTGCATGCCCCTTACTGGGCATCAAGCCCACAACCTGGGCATGTGCCCTGACCAGGAATCGAACCTTGGCCTCCTGGTTCATGGGTTGATGCTCAGCCACTGAGCCAAGCAGGCCAGGCTTGCAGAATTTTAGTAATTAGTTTATATGTGCCATGAAATGAAAAAGGTTGAAAATCCCTGAGGTAAAGGAACAGTGTTGTGAGCAATGGTTATAGGAACCTGGGTTATTATGGCTGCCACCACCTGAGACTCCCATCAAGGGCAGCCACATATTTCTAGCTCAGTGGCGCCTGGCTCACTGCGCCCCATCCTGTCCCATATCCAGCACTTGTCCCCCTTCTAAGCTGATGACCCAAGGATGGAAGGAAGCCACTGCTAGGTACACCCTTCTCTTTTTAGTCTTTTTATTGATAACTTCCCAACAGCATCTGTAAACATCGGCTACAAAAATATTCTGTTAAATTCTGTTTTCCAAGGTGGCTCGGCTTCATGGAGGCCCTGGGAGAGGTCTGCAGGGCCCTCAGGGTTCACATCTCTGGTCAGAGAAACATAGGCCTTATCACGCTTGGGGCTGAATGGATGGTCTTGAGCTTTCTACAACTGTTTCAGAAACCTCCTTGAGATACTGACTAGAGAAAGTATTTAATACTTTCATTGGAGGAAGGGATAGGGAGACCAGAATTAGTAGGTGCAGGAGTGGGGTGTGGTGAACTGAGACATGATAGTGCTTCTCCACCTCAAGGAGATCCTGACGGGTGCTAAAATGGGACATCTGGCTTTTGTCTTTGGGAACCTTTAAGTGTTGTTCAGAGCACACCTCAGGCCTGGCTCTGGAAAAGATTCCTTGTGCCCAGCCCAACAACTTCATGTGGCTGCTCATCCCCTGGCCTTGCAGAGTCTTCTGGAGAGAGATACTCTTAGTGAGGAAGGAATGAGAATGATAGATTCCCGAGAATTCCACAACCCTGGGAGGGAGCCTTGTCCCCCAGGGTGCCCTGGATGACAGAATAGGGTGGCAAAGCTGACCATCTCCAGACAGGTTATCCGCTGCCACCTCAGAGCCCTGGAGAGCCCTGTGATCTCTCGGCATGCCTGGGAACAGGGCTACTGGCCCAGGATCTCCTTGTCATCCGTCTGGCTGCAGCCATTGATGGCAGGGGAGTCAGGCCGAACCTGGGATAGGTCCTCGAAGCCAGGGCTGAGGGAAGGTGAGATGGTGTCTGGGCTGGTGTCACAGGAGCCTGTGCTCTGTTCCGAGGTGGCGATGGTGGTCGTGGTGCTGGGCGGGATGGGGTCTTCATCATCGTCCTCCAGAAGGGATGCTTCCGGGACATCTGGGGGAAGATGGCCCACGAGTTGGCTTAGTCACTGTGATAAGGGATGAACTGGGCCTATGATCCACTGACAGCACCCCCCCCCCCCACGGGGCATGACTTTACCCATTTTACAGAAGAGGGAACTGAGACCCAGGCAGGTGAGAGACCTTCCTTCAAGATGAGGTAAGGTAAGGACTCAAGTTCTGTGGGTCAGGCCGATATGGGTCCTGGGAGCAAGCCTGGGCCTGGCTCTGCCTTAGACTGTCACCTGAGCTAGGTCTCTCACCTGCCCTTGCCTCAGCTCCCTGCTTGATAAACAGGCTGATGACGACAGCACTGCCTCTACATCTGACTGTCAGCAACCATGGGGTGGGAGCTGTTGGCCCATTCAGCACATGGGGTAAACTGAGGTCTAGTTTAAGGGAACACTGACTGTGCTTTCTCTGACAATCAGGTGCCCCTCTGGGCCTCAGTTTCACCATGTAAAATGGGGATACTCACAACTTCCACCTCACAAGTGGTTATGGGTAACAGCCTGCTCATAAGGGTATGTGGCATTCACTGGGGCAAGGATTGCTACCATTCTTGTCCACGTTTCCCCTGCAACCTCCCCCCAGAGAGGGAACTGAACCCTGGTCCCAGCACTGGCTCCTTAGGTTGCCAAGAAGGCCAAACTAGCACTCCCACCCCTGCTCTAGAACTCTTTGGGCCTACTGCCCACCAGCCCCTGAGGTGACCTTCTGAAAGCTCGCCCTGGGCTGAGGACAGTGGCATCCATGGGTTGCAGAGACCAGACATGGGGCACAGGAACCCTGGGTGACACTTACGGCTGAAGGCCTCTGGGTACTGCCTGGCCAGCTTCCCTTTCAGCGTCCTGTGGGGGAAGGGAAGGCACACAGGCTGAACCCCTTGAGCAGATGGGCTGGGCCACATGTAGGCTAGCAACCCTTGCTGTCAGCTCTGGCTGGGTGGGTGGTGGGAACCTCCCCCTCACTGCTTGTGACACTGTGCTCCCAGGCTGGGGGGAGGCCCAGGCATTCAGCCCTGCAGAACTCCTGCCCCTGGTGTGGGCACACTCTGTGAGAATGTCTGTGTGGGAGCCAGGCTGAGGCCCAATGAGCAGATCAGGGAAGGCGGGAAAAGCTGACTACCCACACCATAAAACTCAGCAATCTGATTTGCCTCTTGAGACCTGGGTAGAGGGGCAGGAGGCTGGCCTTTTACTGTTGGGTCTCTGCCTGCCTTTTATGCATCATGTGTCTGGTGCTATGTTGCACTTTTCAAAAGATAAATAAAATTTAAATTCAGAAACTTTGAGATTTTTATCCCAGAGTTCAGATCTTCTTGGATGCTAAGTGTGTAATGAAGCGTTGTAAAACAAGCAAGCTGGATCTCCTCATTACTGTTATGTGGAGCTGGGCCCTACTGAAGAGGGGAGGATCTGAGGCTCGGAGGGGGAAGCAGAGGCCAGTGAAGCCAAATACCTACCTGATCCTGCGGAAGATGCTGTCCAGGTCCCGCTTCATGTCCATCAGGGTCTTCGTGTGGTGCAGGAAGCGCTCGCTCATCTGTTGCAGGCGGGCGCTTGATAGGTTGTTGAAGTTCACCAGCATCTCGTTGGTCTTCTCAAAGCGGTCCAGCCTATTAGTAGAGAGAGGGCACCAATGTCTCCAATCAGCCTCCAGGGCTCTGCTAACTGAGCATGCTAAAGCCCTTTCCTGTTCCATGACCTTTGCATGTGCCGTTGCCTTGTCCTACAAAGCTCTACCTGATTATTGAGCCACCTAGAAAACTGCTATTTAGCCTTCAAAACCCTTCTCAAGTGTGCCCTTCTCATGTAGCCTTCACCTTCCCTCGCAGACTCCCCTGACTCCTCTGGCTCCCAGGTGGTTTCTCTGGCCCAGCCCTGATACCATGGGGCTGAGAAGATTTGTGTCTGGTTTTGTCTCCCCTCATGTTAGGAATTCCCCAGGGCCAGTTCTGAATCTGACATAAAGAACTAGGAGCAAGATGGGTATTGCTGATACCCAGACATACCAGGCAACCCTGTCACAGGGCGAGAAAATAAGGATTCATGCTGTGTCAAATGGAAGAACCTTCATCTTAAAGACACAAAAATGAGCCCCGAGGAAGCTGTGCTTCACCCCAAGATTGTGTCAGCCCTTCTTCCCCAAAGGTCAGGCCAGAATTAGAATGGGGCTGCAGTGAACATGGTGCCAAGCCCCAGAGAGGGCAAAAGGGCATTCACAGCCCCTCCAAGAGACACCAGGAGCTCTGAGACACCAGGCTCCCAGCAGGGAAGCCCACCAGCTCCCTTATATCCCCCAGCAGCCCCTTCCTATCCTCCCAACTCTCCCACCCTAGGCCTTGGGACAGGAGCTGCTGCAGCCTCTGTCAAGCCATCTGCAGCTGCGAAACTACCCTAATGCCCTGTTTCCTGTGCCAAGGCCTCACCTCCAGGCCATGAAAAAATTTACTTTGGAGCAAGCCAGCAGATTTGCTCATTTCCTTCATTTTATCACGAGTGTGGGGCTGAGGTAGGGAAGGGCAGGGCAAGAATGCTGGCTGGAATTCTTCCCATGCCTGGGCCCAGGGCCGTTGGCCACTACTCACATGTTCTTCTGCGCCAGGATGATGGCGTTGACATCATCCACGTTCACCATGCTCAGGATGCGACTGCAGAAGACCCTCGAGGCCGAGGCCGGGGGGTCCATCTCTTCCTCCTCCTCTGCTGCCTGAAACAGGCAGGAAGAAAGTCTTCAGTCTGAATCAAGCACTGGGGAAGATGGGACACAGAGAAGGGGCTGGGAACCCCACAGGCTGCTTGAAAGTGAGTCGGTCATGCCACCTGAGCCTTAGTGTTGTCATCTTGGGAATTCAGGGTTTTTGAGAACTCCAGGAGGTCATATTTATAACTTGCACCCAAGTACATCAGAATCCCATTTCTCTCTAGCACCCACTCTCAGTATGCCCAAGGCCACTGGCACCTTCCACCTGCACAGATCTGCCCACCTCCTCCCACCAACCTTTCTCACCCCACACCTTTGCCCATTCCCTCTTCAGGGCCTGTGCACCTGTTGTCCCCACTGGCAGAAAATGCATGGCTGCCCCCTCAGATCATCACCACCTCCCAAGGTCTTCTCTCCCAGGAAGTCCTTGATGGCTCCCCCTACTCTGGTCACTCTTATCACTTCACTTTTTTAATTGCTTCACTGGCTCATCTCTACCTGAAATTATCTTAGTTGACCTGTTTGCCTGTCCATCCCACAGTGATATCAGCTCCAAGAGAGTCAAGGCGTGTCTCTCTTGCTTACTGCTGTCTCCAGTGCCCGGCCCAGAACCTGGCTCATAGCAAAGGATCACCAGAACTTCATTTGGCAGAGGCAAACAAGACCTTTTAAACTCTGTTCTGATGCTAAAATTTTAACAGCAGATTAAAGCCAAGCATTTTAGCCAGGCTGTGGGCCCCAGCAACCCAGATGGCTCTGCGGCTCTCAGCTTCCCTGGAACAGATAACCATTGCAGTGGGTGGGGGCTTCCTGGATCAGGCCAGGACAGGAAAGGCCACAGTTTTAGCACTGACCCTCCTGGTGGGGGACTTCAGGAAAAACCCAGAATCGTGACATAGCTTGGTTCTGGGGCCCGCACATTTAATGGCCAACAGAAAGGCCCACTTGCCATTGGTAAAGATTCACACATGGATCAGGAAGGGCTTTCAGGTTCCACTTACTCCTCTCTCCTCTTTACTGAGCACCACCTTTAAGCTAAACAAGGTACCAACTTTACACAGGGGAACTGTTACCCTTATTAATATGTGAGAAAACTGAAGCTCGGAGACCAAGGCACTGGGCCATTGTCACACAGTCAGTGAACCCAAGTCACAACTCAAATGCCCACAGTACACAGGATCTACAAAGGTGTGAATCTTCACAGGTGTTCAGTATCTTCCTGTGACAGCACAGTGGCTTCTTAAAGCAGCTGCTTCCTGCCAGACTTCTGATTTTTTTCCAGGAAAAAAATGGAAATAGGGATTTTTCTTTCTTTCTGTGAAATAGCTTCATTTACAAATATTAGCAAATAATAATCCCCCCCTCCCCCCAAACACCATGGAGGCCAAGAGTATTTGTGCCCTGAATCTGGCTAGCAGGTTGCAGCTCCTACCCGCCTCTGGAAATTAGCTGCCACACCTGGTGAAGTCCTGCCCCTCTGCCAATATCACTATTTATTGAGCTCAGCTCCTACAATGTGCCAGGTATGGGCATACAGTCTCCATATTTCAAAAAGAGCATGATCATGTACAAAGAGGATACTTGGGCTCAAAGGGCAGAGCCATGTGGCGGGAAGCCCATAGCTAAGCTTGGCAGGTGCAGGATATGGACCTGCAGGAAATGGTACCGCTTCAAAGTAGGGCTCTCTCCTGTCTCTGGCTCCCAGATGTGAGGGATTCAAGGCACACCTCTCCACTCCCAGCTGCTTCTCTCAGGAAGGCTTCCCTGACTAACAGCTAGTCTGGAACACATAGGGATGGAAATGACCCAACAAGGGCTCTAGGCCCTGCTCCAAATATGAGGGAAACACGCAGAGAGGGAAGCAGTGTGACCTTGGGAGAGTCATGTCATCTCCCTGAATCAGTTTTCTCATCCAGAAAACGATAACAAAGAATCAGAAACTCTCAGTGCTGTCTGTGGGAACTGAAACCAACAGTGATAAGAAGCTGAACTCAGAGTAGGCTGTTTCTCCAAGGGGAATGTAAAGAAGTCCTAGGAAGGGGCGTGGGAATTAAGATTTTGAGAAGGGCCTCCCGGGTGCTTCCAAGAGTATGAGTAAATTTAATCCACAATTACTCCTACAAGACAGACACTATCATTCCTCTCTGAGGGCAACTAAGGCTCACAGGGGTGGTCACCGTCGCCCAAGGTCAAACAGCGAGGAGTAAAGGCGCTGCGATTCCACCCAGGTCATTTAACAGAAAAGAATTTGCCCAAGTTTAGCAAAACCCCGGAGTGGGGGCGGGGCTCACATATCCCCGCCCCTGCAAAGAGGGGAAACTGAGGCCTACGCAGGGCAAAGACACTACCGTCTGAACACAGGCGACCCCAGCTCCCGCACCCCGGACCCGGATCCACGGAACAGACAGGGAAACTGAGGCCTGTGTACAGGAGTGGTGCCCAGATGTGTCCAGTGGCACGCCCCACCCCGCGACAGCCCGGGGGCCGCGCCCGACCTGGCCTGGCTCCCCAGCGGTCCCGGCGGCCCCGGCCCCACCCCGAACTCGGCCCAGGCGTCGGTGGCAGCGGCACCTGCACATCTGGCGGCCTTGCTCGCGCTTCCGGGATGGCGCTCGCGTCTCCGTGACGTCACCACGCACCGTGCGTAGGAGCTCGCGGGGCCGTGACAAGCCCGAGACCTACGTGGGTACAGGAAGGCGCGGCAGGAAGAGGTGGGGCTCATACGCAGCTCCCGTTCGTGTATGCGTCACAATGCATAGCCAATCAAGCAGTCCCTATTGCGCCTGCGTAGCTTCCAACGCTGGCGCTCCAACGCAGAGCAGGAGGGGGTGGAGGAGGCTGGAAAACATCCCATTTTAGAGTTAGTAAGACAGGTCTGAGAACGTCAGGCAAAACCCCAAGGTCATACAATGCTTGAGTTGCCTGTGGTCGATCCAGACCCAGGTGTCCTGCTTTCCAGGCTGGGAATCAGACACATCTGGGCTCAAAAATCCCTGCTCTGCTTTTGCTGATCTTTTTTCTGCTCCAGGATCGCCATTTAGTTACCTCTTTTAGACTCCTCCACAGTTCCCAGTCTTTCCTAATTTTTTATGACCTTAATACTTTTGAAGACTACTGATTTTGTAGAATACCTATCAATATGGGTTTATCCAGTTTCCTCAGGATTAGACTGAAGTTAAGGAGTTTGCGCAGGAATCTCATAGAAGCGATGTTGTGTTCTCAGTGCATCATATCAGGAGGCACGCGATGTTGACTGATGACTTGCTTAGGGCAGTGTCTTCCCAGTTTCTCAACTATCAACTTACTATTTTAGCCTTTGCTATTTATAAGTATCTTATGGGGAGATACTTGAGACCATGCAAATACCCTAGGTTTTTGTTTTAACATTTTAAAAAACATTTTTTCACCCATTACTTTTAGCATCTATCCATGGCTCTTGCCAGCAACAATTATTACTATAATGTTTGTGTAATGGTTATTTTCTGGGGTTTTTTTTATTGGAATTCTATTGTAAACAAGATCTGTCCATTCTCCAATTATGAATTTAGTCACATATTTATATCACTATGAACCAATGAGTATCTTTTATTCTGTGTTATAATTTCTATATTATTTTGCTGCTCCTTTAAGTTAGCTCCTATATCCTTTTAATATGTCTCCAACTTTCTCTGAGCACTTTCTTACTTTTTCCTTGCTTGCTTTGGAATATCCTTGGAATCGGTCATTTCTCCAAGGAGACTGGTTCCTTTTCTTAGAGACTGGTATTTAGAAACCAAGCTCTAAGTGTTCAGTGTGCTCACTACTCTCTCAGCTGTCAGAGTTAGATTTATATGTCTACTAACCCATGCATACACACATCTATATTTACTACTATATCTGTCCCCTTGTATATATACTGAAAATCATGAGCAAAATGGGGCAAACAGTAATTATTCAATAAATGTTAACAATTCATTACCATTAGTTGAGGTCTTACAATGTGTGTACATTACATTATAATGTTTCTGGTTCTCAGTTTGTTAACTGTGAGCCTGGGTGATCACAGCATCTGCCTCTTAAGGTGTTGAAAGCTTAGGAGATAACACATGTCCTTGGGAACATAGAAGACTCTTAAGAGCACTGGAATTGGACATATCTGAGTTCTAATTTCCAATTCTGTCACATCCTAGTTGGATGGCCTCTGGCAAGTGTCTTAACTTTATGAAATCATGCATGTAAGTGATCAACAGTTTTAGCCCACTGTAAGCACTTGGTGAACTGTATTACTACCCCCACATTCTGCTGCCTTCATTCACTGAAAAGTTAATGAGGACCAGGATTCTTATATGTTGTTTAACAAACAGTTTTAAACCCTTTAGCCACCTCATCTCCATGTGGCCCATATTCTGGGGATCTAGAGAGTACTCAGTTCCTGCCTAGCCCTGGAGGACAAAGAGAGACAGAGTCTGACACATACACTTCCAACTTCGAATGCAACAATCCTGGCCTAGAGGGAGGAGAAACTCAAAGCTGGAGGAACCTGAAGAGTGGGATACATTTTCAGTATAAGGAAGCAAGTATATCTGGATGGAATTTTGAGGTAGGATTAGGAGTTCTCTAGGTGTTGACATTCATTCAGTGCTAAGGAAATCACAGGAGCAAAGGCAGCATGCTGGGAAAACACATAGGACTTGATCTTTGTAAGAGCTGTGGAGCTCAGTGAATTAGATAGCAGCCATTGCTGACAGAAGTCCAGTTGGGGGGGGCTCCTGGGAAAAGGGAAACCATGGCTGTGTGTGCAGGCTGCAGCAGAAGACACCCAGGCTGGATAAATCAAGCTTTTCAATGGGTCTCTTGGGCTCTGTTAGAGGCCAGGAAACATTTATGAGGGTCCTAGAAGGGGGTGGGGCTGTACATTGAGGCCAAAAGGGACTTGGCCAGTCCCAAATGTTTTGTGCACAGTGGAGTGGAGACGAGAAAAAATATGTTCCTCCTTTGTGCGTTTGAAGGAGAGGGTGGGAAGTGAACGAAACAGCCCAGTGATAGGGACATTGGTGGTGGGAAGGCCTAAGTCTGGGGACTCGAATCCTTTCTCTGCCACTTTTTTCAGTTTTATTTCCTACATAGCACTCATCATAGCTGAAATTAGATATTTATCTACATTATTGTTTGTGCAGTATCCAGCTCCCTGTTAGAATAGAAGGTCAGTAGGGAATGAGACTTGGCCCAATGTGCCCTTCATCACTGTTACCTTGACCAAGATAATTACCGTCTCTGTACCTTAGTTTCCCTATCTGTAGAATGAGGATAATAAGAGTCTTACCAAAATATATGCATCCAATCCTAAAGAAGACAACAGAGGGAGGGACAGGGGCAATATAAATAAATAAGGTAAGAGAGAGAAAAGGAGCATAAAGAAGGTAGGAAAGAGAAGAAACACATGAGAAGGCAGATTAAGTCCAAATATGTCCATAACTATTAAATGTAAAGAGACCAGTTGCCCCAGTTAATAGACAAAGATGGGCAGACTGGATCAGAAAACAAAACCTAGCTCTATACCACTTACAAGAGACAAGTGTACAACATAAGGCTACAGAAATATGGAAGATAAGGGGTAGAAAAGGATGGAGCCTTTAAAACATGAATCAAGAGAACAGGTGTGCAAGCTTAATATCAGAAAACAAAGGCACATCATAACAATCACAAATTCCTTTAACCAGGAAGATATGAAGATTGCAACTCTATGCAGCCAATGATGTGGATTCCAAATATCAGAGTATTTGTCTCATAAGGCTAAATGAGGATTAAATACATGTAGAGTCTTTGCCTACACCTGCGATAGCTGAGTGTCAGCCATTATTATTGTTATAATTGTTGCTGTTATTAGTTTATATATTTTTATTTGTTGTTGTTTATGTATTAGTATTATTTACTACAGTTCCTCCAGTCTCTGTGACATACCCTGCTGCCCTCCCACCTCTTCTGGCTGGCCAGCCTGCTTCCTTCCTTCCACAATGATTTTCCCCCAAGTCACCCCCCCCCCACACACACCTCTTGTTTCATGCACTATGTAGGCCTCAGGGCTAAAACAATGAGACCAACTACAGGCCCTTCCCAGATTTTAGGGGTCTTCCGGTCTAGTGGGTGAAGTAGAGGTAAGGCCAAGTGATAGCACAGACAGAAGTCAGTTAGGCAGTGGAGGTTCATCATGCTAGAAAACGGCCAATCTGGGCACCTGGCCTTGTCTTGGGGAGGTCTGGGAGGGTTTCCTCTAGGAGGTGACCTCCAAGCTCTGATCTAACAAGTCAGTTGCCACCCAAAGCCAGTTACCTCTTCCAGTGTTGGCTACTTTCAAAGCCAGTCAGTGTCTCACTCATTTATTTAATTATTCGTTAATGGTTCTAGGCATCATTAAAGAAAACGGGAGGACAAAAGAAGCAAAATTCCTTCCAGGAAGAAGCAGGTATGGGTGAGGGGGTCAGAAGCAAAAGAACAAGATCATTCTGGAAGGGGGTAACTGCTGGGAAGGAAAGAAAATAGAGCGAGGAGGAGTAAGTGCCCCCCCTTTCAAAACAAGATCCATAAAAACCCATCTAATCGAGGCAGCCACCTTCTCCCGGGGGGTGGGCACCTTTATCATCAAATGGCAGAGGGTGCAGGGAGGAGGAACTACCCTCAGCGGTCTTGCTCACTCAGTCGCTCACCTAGACATTACTGAGCAACTCCAGTATGCACCAGGCAACCTTCCGGGGATTAGACAGACCACGCAGGGCAGCTGGGGTTCTGTGTACCCTTGGGCAAGTCTCTGCCAATCAGAAGAGCCCCCAAGGTGAGAGTGCATGGATTGGGGTATTCATCCCCATTTCGCAGATGGACAGTATGAAGCTCAGACCGGAGCGGTGAATAAGGCAGGCTGCACCGCGCTGATCCGCAAATGTACAGGTTTAGAGCCGGTTGCCTCCGGCCGCCCGCCAGACTCCCCCCAGTCCACCCCCACCTCCACCACCCCGGTCCTAGGGCGGCCTCTGCCCCTTTAAGAACGTCTCGCGGATACAAGCAGGAAGGGGGCGGTGCCTGAGCCCGAGACGGATATGCACTTGGGCCAATAGGAGCTGTAGTCTTGGCGGCAGTGGCCAATGGGTGCGGTGGGGGCGGGG